CAGACGGACGGACAGACAGACGCGAGGGGGGGGGGAGGGGGGGGGTGAAGCTCTAACTTTTTTTAACAAGTTTCGGAAGTGATTGTAATTGCCGAAAGACTAAAAAATCCCTGATGAGCATCACGAAGGATTCTGAAAACAATTCGCAGAAAAAGAATAGGAAGAGGGGAGACTGGTGCGAGCGCAAAAGTTTCGGGACTCGATCCACCAGGTCAAGTGCCTAGTAACAGTGCCACTTTTCACAGTTCTATGTTATATATGAAGCTTATGCTTCTTTAGAAGAGGGTATTTTCCTCGTGAAATTCAAAAGTCTTTAGACTAATTGGCTAAAAACTGATAGCTCTTTTCAGCTTCACTCTATACCCTTCTACTCTATTTTCTGTTGAAGATCAGTTATTTTTGTGAACATATTTCGAAGCCTTCCTAGAATTGGGGAGCTTCACAAAGTTTTAATCCTTAATAAAGTCTTGGGACATTAATCAATCCAATCTGAGGGATGCGCCCACGCTTTCGATTTCCATTCAGAATCATAGTGACGTATTGAATGCGTATGTGGCCTACACAATGATCTGTGGGGGCCAGTAGATGTACAGGTCGGTTCACTTATCAGAGAGTCTGGTACCTATTAATCGACCCCGGTAGAATGGAAAGCTTGGTTGGCCTAGGTGAATACTGAGCTGGAATTCGAACCCGTGACCCTGCGTGTGAGATGGTGGGCCACTCGCCACTACGCCACTAGACAAGTACTTCCAATCTTTGGCTTTATGAATCTTGACAAACTTGGAATCTTGGAAGACATTTCATAAATTCCTGGGTGATATACAGTGATCACGATCGATCATTATAGATCACTCAAGATACATCTAGACAGTATTCATGGCGTACACATTAACAGAGAAGATTGGCCATGTACTCACTATTACTCACCGTCTTGGTAACCGATTTTTATTCAGGATTACATCATGGAAGCTTCGACGATTTCTCAAAGTTACAGTTTCGGTGGAGACGAGACGTGTGATGAATTCCGTAAAGTACTTATCAAAGTGAGTGGTTTTGAAAACCTCCAGTTCAAAAGACTGGCACGAGCTACAATGATTCTCCCAGATGCTATCGATTTGATTTTTATATTTTCAATTTTTTAAAGGAAAAACTTTTAGCTGGTTCGATTCCGTGGTGATTTTTGTGGTGATCTATCAAGATGTACATGTAGTGAAACACGATGGGAGGCACCAACATTACGATGTGGATTCGATTGTGATCAAATTTGGAGAGAAGGCCTGTTTTCTGAATCGGCTACCCCAAAAGTTGTGACATATTCTGCTATACTTCTCCTAATTCAATTGTTTGTGTTATAATTGAAGCCAGTTCGATCAATCCCAATTGGGATGGGTCCACACAAGAACTCTTCTAAGAGTAGAAAGCAGCTCTGATTTATGTACAGCTAGTCGATCCGGATCCGCTTTCCTTTCCATGTACTCCCTCGAAAAATTGCATTAATTTTTATACGGGTAAATAGATAATTTCGATAATCATGTTCATATTATGTTTCCTTCACAGAGACCTCGAATAAATTTATCGCAATTAAGTTATAAGAAAAATTCCCGATTTATTAAGTGAAATGAGTCAAACATGGCAAGAATAGGCCAAAAGCAAAAATGTTAGCTTAGGGGTCCGTTTATTACAGTAATGGCATGATATTAGTTGTCGAAAGAAAAGTTAATTACAAGGCACTAAAAGTGAAGATGAGCAAAGAAAATATATATTAATGAAAGCTCTGTGAAATGAGCTGATAGCGACCTGAGAACCAAATCACAGTATCACTGGAAAAGATTAGGAAGTTATACAAAAAAAAAGAAGATTAGCCGTTCTTCAGGTCAAAGGTTCGAGGTGATCAGTTAACTAAAGCTAGAAGTATTAATTACAGCACAATGAAAATTAATTAGACAACCTACTCTTCATGTGGGCTGTCATTCAAGAGGGGTGACAATTCTGGAGACGAAGATATCGAGGATAGCCAAGGTTTCAAGTCCATCACACACCGCCTCATGATGCAGCAGATTGCCAAAGTGTTCTGAAAGGAGCATTGTTCGGTAAAAAATTAAAAATACAAAAAAAAATGGAAACTACAGTGATGAATGTGGAATAATCCCTCCTGAAACTATTAAAACCATTAGGAGGATACGATCTATATTGATGCTGTACCAGTGTTTGAGCGGTAGAAGTTAAAAATTGAGACCGCCTTTACCTTAAAAACCCCGCCCACTCGTAGACCACGCCCCCTTGCCCGGTGCTGTGGGGAATAGACGATTTTTTTACTTGACGATTTTTTGTATGCTGTTGCACCATAGAGAAAAAATGATCGTCGTCCTATTCATCTCCTTATGTGACAATTCTTTGAAGAAAAAACTGACCAATAGCATGAAGAGATAGAATACGGATTCCCATCCGAGTGAATTTTGCATAATAGGAACAAGGATTTGGCCAATGGCGCTTCCGGCTGATCCAGTACCATCTAGTAATCCGGAAACGGTAGACATGGCCTGGAACCCAATTATTTCTTCGGAACACCTGATATATTCGAATTTCTCATCAAGACGTAAGCAAATAAAGTACCTGCGCATTGGCAGCGAGTATCGGTTGTGACCCCAAATCGATGGATATTGTGCCGACAATTAAATTATACGGACCAGATACCGTAACACCGACGACCGTCATGAAAAATGCGTTCCATATCATGTGAGCTCCTGCAATTCATTAGAAAAAACTGATTAGTCTATTCTGGTGCTTGTTAGTAAAACTTACCTATATGAGCATATACGAATAGTGATCCAATCGAGCAAATTAGCATAGCGACTATCAACGGTGCTCTGCATCCAAGTTTGTCCTAAATGGCGAAAACTTATTGCCAGGGCTAGAAAACCATCAAAACTGATTTAGTAATTTTGTATCTAGCCCACGCCAATCGGAAAAGCTTTGATCCAACTAGTTTGCGCATATTTGAAGCACTCACTGAAATGTAACCTCCAACTACGCTACCAATGATTCCTCCTATATCGTACCATATGCTCAACTGATCGGCCTGTAATAACTAGCAATTGTAGAAAATCGTATCAACCAAAAATATTTCGTTGAAGAAGAAAGTGTAGGGTCGACTCGAGTAATAGGAAACCAAAAAGCTGCTCCGTTGAAGGAAAAAATTGCTCAAATCGATGATCGCAGTTCTGATGTGGTTTTCTTACCGTTGTCTCCTCCCAGTGATAAGCTTCTGTTAGGTACAACGGCAACCAGAAGAAAAAGGCGTAATTGACAAGCTTGAGGCACGCATTACACAGGCAGTACTGCAACAAAGTACACGATTTTGGACAGGTAAATGTATTGAATAACCCTCTATTTAACAAAGATAAATGGAAAGCCTCTGATTCAGTTAATTACACACTAATAATTGACCAAAAACAGGGAGAAGTTGAATAGGGATACCAACCGCTAGCACTCCGGGAAGAAGAATAGCGTCGAGAATCTTAATAGGTTCCCCTTCTACGGCATGCGACCTGAAAACAGGTAGGATCGTATGGGCTCTCCTGAACACTGCATGAAGAAGTCACTGTGTCATTTGGAACGCAGAGGTTAACTTTAAGAATTTTCTATAGACCCTCGGAAGATCAAACACTCACAGTCTCCCTTTATGAGAAGGATGCCAACATAACGGCTGTCCATCCAGAAACTTCGAAACTTCAACAAAAGAAAATCAAACTGCGTAGAAAAGAGAGCTGCATCACCTCTCTCCGGACTCCTCGTTGTGTAGTTGAGAATATTGCGCCTCCTTAGGTTTTGGATCAATCGATACCATCACAACAAATGCTCCAATCAACATCAAAAGACCATTCATAAAGAAGGTATTCTGAAATTCTGCTTTTTGGCTCACATCAGGAAACAGCTGACAGTCTTGAATTTACTCAACACAAAACATCTTACCAGACATTTTTGATGATTAACGAAAACAAATAACCTCATATCCGTAAGGCAATACCCATGAGGTAAAGAACGATCCGAAAACGTTGCCGAGCGGTTGACATGAGGCCCACACGCCCATCACAAATCCACGATTAGCTTTGCCAAACCAATTTGCCTATAAAAAAAANAAAAAAAATCAGAACATATTGCAAAGCGGTTTAACAATAACAATGAGGAGATAGATGGCAATGCAGCTAGAGGAATAAATCTAACTAGTAAGTTTGTGTAGTTTACTAAATCTACAAAATACTATACCCTAAGCCCAAAGTGTGTGATACCCACTGTGAGCGGTAGCCATCCGATCGTTTCAAAGACAGTGATCACAGCCTCAGCTACTGTTTTCCGCCGACCAACCCCCTTCTGCTGTCAGTAGCGTTTTCACCACATGTTCTGGGTCTTTCGTAGATTTCTATGGAAACGAAAGGCATACCATTATTGCAATCTCACTTGGCCAACCGCATGCTTGCATTATTCCGAATAACAAATATGTGAGGATGTAGTATGCAGCATTGTAGAAATCAAACCACTTGGGAAAAGCACCGAAAAAGGTTAACTGAACGGAAAAGTAATCGGTAAGGGCATTCAAAGTGAGTGAACGAATATTAAATCGAGTACAAACCATAACACCAGATCCAACCATTCCCGTTGCAATGACATATTTCGGATTTAAACGATCTCCTAGCCATCCCCAGAAGAATAGTCCCTAAGAAAAAAAAAACAGGAAAAATGCTAATGATATTTGGTAAAAGTCGGCGGATCATAAGAAAGCTCACAGTAGCATAGGCGATCATAAACGCTGCATCAAGAGTGCCCAGGAATGTCCTCGCCTCATATTCCGAGTTGAATAGAGCCTGAAGAATTGAAATCCCGTGCAGCGGTAAGGGATGCAATGAAAATCACCACTTCAAATCAATAACCCTGACATTTTCGCCTAGACCAACGTTCTCTGAGGTTTAATCAGCTTATACCATTCAGTCGATAAGGTGAAAGCTCCCTAACGATAAAGTATAATCTTCTTCGAAAACATACCCTTCGAAAATGACGTTGATGAAATGGTATGTATCTTTTCAAGATCCTTTTAAGTCCAGGCTATTAGAGCAAAATGTGAGAATATTCCAAGGGAGGCAGACTGAGATTTCTATATCTCAAGACAAAATCTAAACACTGACCAAAAATAACCTAGAGTGTGGATAAAATGAAATATTCCACTGAAGACAAGCATCGACCTTAAATTTAGGCTTAAGTAGCTTTTCCATCCTGTCAAACTTCGTAGCGCGTATAGGGATGGCTGAGGGAGAGAACAGACTATAGGGAAAGGTTTCGAAACTCAGCAATACCTTGAACAAGCCTAATCTCTTTCGAATGATTGAGGAAACTCCTCGATGTTCTCCAACCTCATTTCTCAATTCATATCCAGGGAGGCTGGCATTCGTACGCTACCAATTTTCTCTTTCAAAGCGTACTACTACCCACTCATACAGTCAACAAAATACTGTGCCCATCAACCACAACCGAGGCCCTTTCTCGACTTTTATCGATAACTACATGAATGGAGTCTCAATTTTGAAATGTAAGGCTGAAATTGTACTAACCTTATGAGTCGAATTGTCTAGCCAGTCACTTGTGACCGATGTTTTCACTCCACTCAGAGTTTTCCTCGACGAATGATATAGACCATAGCTGAAAGCAGCCACTGAAGCCGCTGCGGTGAAGCATACCAAACAAATGAGTCATTCAGAATTCTTGAATTCGGCGAAAATCGATACAGATTACAGCATTAATCCGAGTAAAATTAAATGAAAAAATACCTGAGAAAGGTCACTGCAAACACCAATGCCTTCATTCCTAATAAATGTGAAGAGTAGTGACTTTGCAAACGAATCTACATGCAAAGAGCAAAAAGCAATTTCCTCGGCACCTGAACAGTGGTGAAACATAACACAGCTATCTGTTTCGATTGCTGATAGCGCACTGCATAAAACCACAAGGCCCTCCGAGATAGGCAAGGGTCACCAGAGCTTCGTCGGCTTATCAAGAGCATCTTTAATAGATAACTGTGAATTACTAAATAGACAATTGTGAACTAATAAATAAGGTGTATCTCTTTGTAAAGCAAGAATCACAAAAAGGCTTTACTAGCCTACTAGCAGATAGCCAAGCCTGTTTGAACCATGGGAACCCTTCACCCTACAAAGATCGGGTGCATGAAAAAAAAGCATCGAACAGTGCAATAGCTGCCTTTCCGAAACTATCACAGCCAAATGGGCGTTCGAACGTCCGTACGACTCCTAACGGATCGAATATGCGGCGCACAGCAAAACAGTATCGATTGAGAAAGGTTTGCTTTCGGCTGTAGAATGAAAAAGGCTTTCAAAAAGTCATTTTTTAGTAAAGAGAACAAATCGATTCAAAAACGAACTTGAAAACGGGACGGAGTAGCATTTGCTTACAAGTTTTTCTGTTCGATATCAATCGAAAGAAATGTCTATAAAATGCGAATTGTTTACTCCCATCTCTCAGCTTTCCATAATGCCTGATATAAAAAATTAAAATATAAAAATCTGGCAAATAAAACATATAAAAATACAAAATATAAACAAACAACTTAAAAAAAACCTCATAACGGAAGTGATCACTGAACGCCTAATTGTCATGGTGTGAAAGTGATAGCGTGGCTACCATCTCGGTATAAAAAAAGCAAAGAACATCGAGTCTCCATAGTTCCACAGTACTGGATGAAACGTTTATTCAAACAATCGTGCAAATAAATCAGTTAGTATTCAACAACAATAAAAATGTTATGCAAAGATAAAACTTCCTCGGACAATAAACTGCAACGAATGAGAGATCACAAACTACAAGAAATGTGCGAAATATAGAGCGAATGAGTATGTAAAAACCAAAAAAATAAGAAAATATGCCAAAATGCACCGGTATTAGCGCGAAAATTCAATTCAAAACAAACATTGCATTAGAAAACTACCAAGTGAGTTTTTATCACTAAGTAAACAACATTTGACATACAAATAACAACAATGGTAAAACTTGCGCAAACTTTGTTAATTTCGTCTTTTGGGCCTGTCGAAAGTTTTAGCATTCCATATAAGACATTTGGGATTCAGCATTCTCAGTGGTGGGTTAGGCCGTTCAACTCCACTTTCCTGGTCCAATTTCGGATTATGTACGATATATGTTCCTCCTATGAATAGAAAGTTCAAAACTCGAGAAAGCGATACAATTTTGAGATGGAAAAAGTTCAGCAAACTAAAAGGAAAAACGAAAAATACGGAATATATGCTTGACAGTACCTTTCAAATGAGAGACTAATCCAATGGGCTCTAGAACGTCCTTGATGTCATCCTTGCTGATACCAGACATTACTTCTAATTCATCAAGGGTAACATCTTCAGCCTTAAACAGAAAAGGACCCTCTCAAACAGTCAAAGAGGGCCAACAAAGCAACTAAATATGACAAAAACAAGGAATTCACATGAGAATGCAGTATAACTGCTTTGAGGAACTACTTATCTCTAGTAATAGTAGAGGGGAGCGTCTGACAGCATACAACAATTCAAACCAACCTTGCGCAAAGATATCGAATCAAAACATTGTAAGAGAACCCAAAGCCAGTATTTCTTGTATGATATCTCGCCCAAATCTGAGAAAGGGCGTTCAGGAGTGCCTGGATATTTCGCTCTTTTCGACATTTCATAACCTTAAATCAACTGCATAAGTATAGTGGTTTCGAGAATAAGTTTCGAAATAGCTCACTCAATTGTATCATCAGGCTGCCGTATCCTTTCCTCTGGTAACACGGCAATGTCATAATGCACGCCAAATTGTTTGAAGAATACATTTCCTTGGAGAACATTGCTGCTATATGGGTGCCTTCATTATCAACCTGATGAATACAATCTTGATAGAAATATTGAGAAATAAAAAGAACAAGAAGACTTACCTCACACAAGAGATAGAAAATGAAGTTTTCTACATCAAAGCATAATGTTTTGTGATCAATAAAGAGCTTGGCCAATAGACAGAGCCGTTGACAGTAAAACTGAAAAGAGCAGTTCTATCAGTACTCCTATATGATTCAAATAGCCAACTTCACTGAGTCACAATGTCCATGCCACAGTTAAGAATTAGGATGAAGATGTTGATGAGAAGAAGTGCACTTCGGGTATTGCGAGAAAGAAGGAAAAAGCGGCCTTGGAGATTAAGATAATACCTTTTGCAGTGCGCCAAATACTTCGTACACTTTGATGTCACCTTCCTCATAGATCGCCTCTCCTGGAGGATTCCTAAGCTTACAGTCTTTCGCCTAAAGGGCTAAGTTCGTGAGCAGGAGTCAGGAAAAACACAATAATCTCAGTGATCCAGCAAAACTTACCAAATGGCATGCAAAGCGTTGCCTGTCTTCAGTATATAGTAGACAATTTTCACAAATAAGCAGCCGCTCCACAAGTTTATTCTTCAAACGATAAGGCGAGTAATACCAACATTGGATTTCGTAGCTACCAAATATAATCCTCTCGATGTTCTTCTCCGGGGGAGTCTTAGAAAGGCATATTTTTAAAGTGAGAGAAACGGAAAATAAGCAACATACAGAAGCAAAATGTCTACCTTCCTATGGTGATCTGATCTCCCACCGACTTCGTCGAGAGAGTTAAGATCTTCGTCATTTTCCCTTCGTCGCTTTCTTGTTATACGAAGATCGCTACCTCCTTGGAAATAGACATGAAAAAGGCGAGAACGAAAGCAGTAGGGTCAGAATAGCGATTTCCTGCGAAATACAGTAGAGAGAATAATGTTGAGCTATACCTGTTTCCCCATTGTTGAGTTTCGGAGCTAACTCGATGAATCTAAAATAAAGATGTCTAAGTGCCGTGTGCTGGTCAAATATGACTGACGCCGAAGAACGGCCTTAGTTCAATCGTTGTGAAAATAGATAGAAAGTTATCTGGATGAGCACAAAGTATATTGACGTACTGCTCACGGCTAATCCACTGATCGAGACGTCGATCTTGCCCATCAAAATGAACGAAGAACTCTTGGTTCTCTACACCATCAGTGCTCTGTAATGAATAGCAAAGATCGAATTTCTCTGAATACGGGAGTTCCAAGAAAAGCAACCTTTGATGCAGCCCGCTTTGATTAATCGTAATGTTCACAAAGTGTGTGCCCTCCACGTACTACCCATTGTGCCACGTATAATCGCTAGGCAAGATTCAACGCATAATGAGCTTCTCATAGAGATAAAGTAGGGGAAGTGTTTATTATTAGCAGCATAAAAGGAAAGAACATACAAAGATGATTTCGCTGCTTTGGACTATTTTTTCATTGTGCTATACAGTAGTTAGGCTTACTTCTGAAGTGACCGTAACCGTCTAAAATGACAATTCAATATTCCTTAAAGACCCACCTCATCCAGGGGTAAAGAGTTTAGTTTCTGATCGAGTTCTCCTTCATCAGTATTATTGGATTTGAGGTTCGAGTCGGGTCCTCTCTTCTTCAGAAGTGTGGCCAAAACCTAGGACAACTTCTTTTGGTAACATGGAAAAGCAAAATACTTCACCAGCTTAGGATATAAATGAATTTCAAAATCGCGGCGACAACAGAGAGAAGAATAATCCAATGGATACATACTTAAACCACGGCACAGCACGCGTTTGTATGGCTCTGCGATTTATGGAATCCCTACTTACGCAATCTTTTGGCCAATTCCATGATCCCCAGCTAGGAAAAGCACCAGGAAATCAATATTGCAGAAACGATCCCCACGAAACATACCCTTCTTTTTTCGCCGTTCACTAATCGCCACACAACAACACGCTCATTTATCTTCACGTCGTCAAGGCTGGGCGTTTTTTCCTCGATGTTAGTCGGTACTGACTTCTCATCATCCATAACTAGCACATCTACAACAACGAAGACTGACAACTCGCATGAAGAAAACCAAAAGAGGAAAAAACATAAACGAAAGACCACCGAGATCGCTAATAATAGAAATTTTTCAGAAAAAAAAAGACCAAAATAGAGCAAAGTACTCTTGTCCAATAGAGGTTTTCGTTCAAAGAAAACACTATTAATTTGTTCGTCTTTATTTAAGAATCAATGAACGAATATGAACAATGGAGTATCTCAAGATATTACAACGAAGGTTACAACATTAGAGAAGCTACTATTTAATGTATTTATCCATGAACTTTCTGTGAAACTCTGAACGAATAGCGTCGTTGATGAATGAGGCCTCCTTTTTGCGTTCATCAATACCTGCAATTGAGTATATGAAACATGGAGAACCTGGCATGCAATCCATCTCTCATGTTTCTAATTTCTTTCCATCCCCACTTCCAACCCAATTATCACCTCAAGACATTCCAAAATTGGCATGAAATGAGGGTGAACTTGAGTGACCTGAAAATGAGCTATAAGAGTACACAAGAAAATTCACAAACCTTTGGCACAGTTTTTGAAGACTACATCGTCATCCCACCTTCGCTTGACCTTGAACTCTCCGCCATTAGCCGATGCAGCAGAGTTACCAGGATTTAGGAGAGGGTTACCCGCCAGAATATTGTCCATGCGAATTTTCTCCTTGAATTTTAGCAATGAATATAGATTCATACTCAGCTTATTAACTACTCTATATGCAAGAGTAAGGACGATAATGACGTGGAAGAAGGCCGAGTCACAAATCTTCTGCCCGGAACCTTCTTCGCACCAAAAGATTAGTGAGCTCTGACATATTGTTACCTCTCGCCTCTTTTCCTCTTCTTCTCTTGCAGCTTTCTCTTCCGCACGTTCCTTCTTGATTCGCTCCAGTTCTGCCATAAGTGCTGCAGTGTCGTCCTCATCCGAGTCATCATCCGACGAGTCATGCTGCAACCACTCATTTTTTATCCAAATCGACACTTAAGCAATGCAAATGTAAAAGTTGTTAGAAATGAAACTTACTGAAAAACGAACCAGCATATTGTTTTGTAAAAGTACAATAGGATTTTCGCGGAAGAATTATGAATGAAGTATTGGATCTTTAATAGATCAGAAAACACATTATTACGGCTTTGCCAAACACTACCTTTTGCTCGGTTAACTTGTCGGATCTCTAGTGCACGAGCATGGCACAAATTTTCAAAGCAGCTCAAGTGCTCCACTGATGGAAAATCTCAAAAACCAAAACTGCTGTATAAGAATTTTGCAATCTTAAAGGATCCTTTCGAGCGACTTTTTGAAAACTTTGGTCAAGCTATGTGTCATCGATTTATGTATACTCTTACCGGCTGCGACATAACCTTTACCTAAGGTAAGTTACGTTCAGTTCTGTGAGAAATCGTAACTTCCCGACATTATTAAGAGTAAAAAGCCAAATGAAGGCTATAAGAAATGAGAAAAGCACTACTCTGACGAAAAAAAAGAAATAATCTCAAAACACACTTCATCGAGCGGCTCATCCGCATCCAGCGCTGCGTGGGAAGACTCTTCGATCCTTGCTCTTTTACTGCTTGAACTCGATGCGGCTGCTTCACGGTTACGCCTTTCCCGAGACGCAATCTTCTCCTTGTCCTCCAGTTCCCGTCGTAAATCCTATGGGAACAGCATTTGAAATCAATTTCATTTAGATCTGACTTTTAACCATACTCACCCGTCTTCTCAGTTCCTCTTCTGTGCCTTGACCTGTTTGCCTGTACTTCAATTTGGTATGTGATGGCATGTCTTTTGAAGAGTATTGTTGTGATAGTTTCGATAAATCTCCTTCCGTCCTACCCGTGCCTCCTCGGGCAGGGTGGAATGTTGGTCGATGAGCGGTCGTCATAATTAGACTAAAAGAAAGATACTATCATATCAACATCTTTATTTCCACGGAAAGCTTTTATACGAAGCACTCCATAATAATTTTCTGGCTGGGATTTCCCAATAAGGAGCAATCAAAAATGGAAGAAAATAAATGGGCTGATGCTACGTCAAATGGAAGGAGGGAAAAGCAAACGAAATTTTTAAAGGAATTGAAACAGTACCTAATGATTAATGTTAAAGAAATGCATAGAGACAGCTAAGTTTAATACAACACTATAACAAGTCACAGAATCAAAACCAAAAAAGAACTCGAAGTACAAAAGGTAAAAAAGTAATTGAAAACTCGTCCAGACACCTTGTCTGCACTCAGTCGCCTTTACACTTTACTGAGAAACGATTATTGCCAAAAATAAAAAGTATGAAGCAGTAAACTTGGACTTTATTGTCGTTTTCAGAGTTAATTATTCGATTCTTAGAAAGGTGGAAATGTTTTGCGACCGAATTGCAACGCGTGGACGACGATGTAGAGGCGGTGGCGGACAACCGCTACTCTTCTGAGTCGCGTGCGTCAATTCGCGCGACTAGCGAGCAGTAATGTAGTGAGAGAGCGTGAGCTTTACAGAGGAAGCAGACAGTAAAAGCAACAGTGACACACGCACGAAATCGTGCAGCGGCGTAATCAAGTGGCAGCTGCTTGCAGATGAGCGCAGTCGGAAACGCGCTGAAGAAAATAGTATGACATAAAAGATGTTTTAGAGCGCGAGACAGCTAGAGACGCAGAAAAAAGCGCAACGGTGGCGCAACATTCTAATTAAATTGGCTAGGGCTATGCGACGGAGTCGAGACACAAGTGCAATGGTTTGCGAAGTTCATTACTGCAAGAAATAACTTTATGGTTTGTCCTAGATGTTATCTAACAACACGGATGAAGAACTGTACAAAGTTCTTGTGTCCTTTTGCTGGTGATCGTGCTTTGCTTAGTTACTGTCTTCGGCTTTTATTCATTCTTTGTCGTCTATCTTTTCGTCCTTAGACTTTTGATTTCATCCTTAAATAGAACTACTTGTATCATACGTATACAATTCGTGCAGCTACTTTGTGTCTTCAAATAGAACACAACCATTTATCTTATGTTTCATCCCAGTTGAAAACTAATGAGAAATTGTTTTTCAATCGGAGCCACGGCGTGGACACCTTTTCCATGGATTATCACCTAACATATGCCTTTGCAGCTGGTGTGCTCAGCATTGTTGTAAATCGTTTTACAGCGTGGGCGGAACTCTTCCTCACATTTTTCGATTTGAGTGTTAGATGTCCTTAAGAAGGTTCTCGATTAAACGCAATTTTTCAATCTCTATGTTTGGCGTGCTCTTCATGATTTCCCTCCTAGTTTATTTTATTGCTAATCTTTGGAATCTCATGATATGCCACCAGTGATCTCATGCGGGTAATTCGCGTTGCGCATTGTAAAAATCGATATTTGTTCGTTTTTATCAAGTGCTGGCCACCAATCCAAAGGGCTATGGTTTTTGCTTTATGGTTGAAGCGTTACGGACTTTTTTATATCCCTTGAAAAAAATGGCATTTCGATGAAACTGCATGCCATGGCTACTACCTTGTTGTCCTATAGGCCACTAACATGATGTTCATCCGGCTGCAGTCATAAATTTAAGAGATTTTCATTTTCATAGATATCACATTATCGTGTTTCTTGGCAGCTTCCGACGGAAATTCACAGAATAAAGATCTATCAGAGCGAATTTCCAAAGAACTCAAAAGCCGTAGGAATGATTCTGTCCACGCTCTCTTCTGGTTTTGTGCTTCTTTCGTTATAGAACATTTGCATTCACTAGGGTTATGATTTTTATGATTTGTTCATAATTAAGTGAATGTTTACACATACTTTATGCCACATGACACACCTACGTAGCATCAATCTTTTCGATTAATTGTCTACTGCGTTTAACGTGATGATTGTTGTTTTCTTAGAGGGTGTAGAGGCGCCAAGTTGTGTCGACGAGGCTTCTCTTGAAGTACATAGTGGTACCCTTCATTCCTGGACTCCTGCGCCCAACCTTTGCTGATGTCGGCCGGAAGTGGTCATCATAGTCTAATGGGAGGTACACCTCACCAGGTTCCTGGACCAAGAACTCAGGTACACTATCAGTAGTTTTTTCCCTGTTTCAATTTTGTCCGAATGTCTTTAAAACACGACATTATTTATATCCAGTATTTTCTTGTATCAGGCATGTTTATTTGAAGTGGCTTTGAATGTTTCTGTGATTACATCAAGTTGTGAGAGGCACACCTATCAGAACGAGTTTGTGTTTGCGCTGCTCAGCTCCACTAACTTTGCGTACCACTTACATGCATTGGACTAAAGATATGATAGGACTGCGTAGAAAAACAGTTGCTGGATATCTTCGCAATTCATCGAATGTACGGCTTTCTTATAAGTCAAAAAGTGATAGTCCGACTGACCTTTGAATTTTCCTATACCGTTGGGTTGATGGAAGGAGATCCCCTTGACGGCACAGTGAAGCATTAAAAGTTAGTCGATTATTCGAGACTGGTAAAAAGAGTTTGTTCCTCTGTCGAGCCATTTGTAATCCGACTATGGTGCTCTCATAGCTTTTTCCATTAAACAAATTTACAAGAATTGCGGTCAGTCATCCTCTTGAATTTTTGTTTTGCAGGGGGCTGCAACAGGAGGCCAACCGCTCTCGGCGACAGCTAACCAATTTGTGGACAAAATTGATCCATTTAGCAAACGTGGGACCAGTAGGAGGAGGTCTGCTTTGTTACCAGTGTTTTTTCTCTTCCTTTTTCAATCCTATAGAAAGTACTGGTCTTCAATAATTTTTGCAGGAGAATCGTTAATAGCAGCAGATATCATGCTGAAAATGAACCTGAACTGGTTCAACTCCCACTAATCAAAGGTATAATCAATTTCACTCCACTATTTTTCACTGGAAGGTTCAGGATTTGCTTTTACCGAGAACAGAGGCCTATTTCTTACTGTTTACACTTCACGACAGAGTGTTTATCGATCAGGATGCACTCAAATGCTGTGCAAAAAGAGATTTCGCAGTTCCCTCCTAAAACAGAGCTCTGTTCTTGGTGCCGATTTTTTGAAATTTCTCATTAAGATCGAGTTCGCGTCGAACACACTTTCAATCGATATTGTTTTAGATACCCCAGCTAACGATCAGCCCGCCCTTGTTCTTCAAAAACTGGCTCAATGTCAAAAGATCTTCGATTTTTACGATCCAGTGGCCCAACTCAAGAGTAAAGAGGTCAGTGTGCTAAGTTCTAATTGTTAATCCTAGCATGATCGCCTTTCCTTCCATTTACAAGGCATAGCTGACAGATCAGTATCGATTTATTCATATTTGGTAGCCCTTAATCTCTTTCTGTTTTCTTTGTGAAACAGTAGATGAAAAAAATTATTTCAGATTAAACGTGCAGCGTTAAATGAACTAATCGATCACATAACAACGACAAAAGGAGCGATTGTGGAGTCGATTTACCCCGAGGTCTTTTTGTGTTCAAATAACCAACGTCGTTTCGATGTTGATTCACATTTTATTTATATTTTCAAGGTCATCAAAATGGTCTCGAAAAATATTTTCCGCGTACTGCCGCCATCGGATAATTCGGAATTCGATCCCGAGGAAGATGAACCAACTCTAGAAGTATCTTGGCCTCATCTTCAGGTAGGTTGTTCAAATACATTAAGCTTTGTATAAAGAGAATTCAGAATATATGTTCATTTGTGTTCATATGCTATAGCAAAATGCGTTATCAGTTATACTTCTGAAATTCATTTCGAGCCTATCAAATTTGATAAATTTGGCTTTTCTTGGTGGTTTTATCGTTAGGCCTAGATCGAGTTTCATATCCATTCCTTTTTATTCTGTGCTCCGCTCATTTTTATAAGTTGTTCCCTCATCTCAGTGTTTTTTCGCGTTTGCGAGTCCTGCCAATGTTTCTTGCACCTGTCAACGAGCATCTCAGCCAAGCAATAGAAACTTGCATAGACGACGGGCAGTCAAGCTGATTGACAAAATGAAATGCATTTTCGTTCTCATTACGTGTCTTGTAACAAGAATAGGTGATTCCCGTTTGTTGATCATCACCCATATTCTTCAATTGAATGCGAGTATTTGAGACCAGGTGATGGGTGTAATTTGAAGAATAAAGGGTATAACTTGCTTCTATATGACCTCGAGAGTGAGCTAGCAGGAGACAAAAGTTTTATTGATAATTCCTTCACTACGGCGCGTGTTCCGGGATTCTGATATTTCCCAAAACATATAACGCACATCTACTATTTTGCATATTATCAAGAGCTCCTGCTTTCCTAGTCCTTTATATTATGCGTTTGATGTTTATTATTTTCAGCTTGTGTATGAGTTATTCCTTCGTTTTCTGGAGTCGCCGGATTTCCAAGCATCCATTGGAAAGAAATACATTGACCAACGTTTTGTGCTAAATGTGGGTTGCTTACATTGAAATATTGTTGGCAACGTTTAATTAACCTGGTTTTGAATTAACGTATTCCTTTTATCCCCCTTTCAGCTCCTCGATCTGTTTGATTCTGAAGACCCTCGGGAACGTGATTTTCTCAAAACGGTTCTGCATCGTATTTATGGGAAGTTCCTAGGACTCAGAGCTTTCATTCGTAAACAAATCAACAACATGTTCTTATCGTTAGTTTTTTTTGCAACAACTTTTTTGTGAAGAATTGCATTAGATGTGGCGTTTTCATGATTTTCTTTCTTTTCCACTTTCTAGAACTTTCCTTATTCAGCTTTGTTTACGAGACAGACTCATTCAACGGAGTTGGAGAATTACTGGAAATTCTCGGAAGGTGATTATGACAAATTACTTTTTATTTCTCTGATGTAAAGTGATGCTTTCATTTTTTTGCTAGATTTTCTGCGTGAGACCAATCATTTAATATTTACTTTATTTATGTAGTATCATTGATTTATGTAGAAAAAATGAAAATCGATGCGCAAACTGGTTGAGCATCTTTCATTTCCCCATTGTTATGTCGTGTCACGATGAGTTGTGAACGCGAAATAGTAGTGAGAGTGGTTTGCGGCCGGCGACAATAGACGCGATCGACTAACGCTATTAGGTAAAAACTTGCTCCCTGATCCTTCAGGGAATAGAACTTTTTCAAAAGGAGGGCGCAAATAAGATTGCTCACGGGTGTTTTGCCTAATGTAGGTTTTTCAGCGAGGGTTGCTCACAAAACTTTAACTTGAAGTTCCACTTACAGTTTGCTACTCTGTTATTATATTCTGGATAATGGATTGTTTCGCTCATATTCAAACTTTCATTATGATAATAGCAGCGTAGCCCTCTCCTTTGCTATGATACTAATTTATTCTTTGAAGTCTTTCGCAAACATGGAAGCTTTCAGCATCATTAATGGATTTGCCCTACCGTTGAAGCAGGAACATAAGGTGTTCCTTGTCAAAGTTCTTCTGCCACTACACAAGCCAAAGTGTTTATCGCTTTACCACGCTCAGGTCACTTTGGCTTCTTTTTTAAGATTTCATTCTGGATCACATCATAACCTATTTTCCAAGATAATTCATTCTGAGCGTTCAAGGATATATAATTATAAGCATGGCCAAGACTCGTGATCAGTCATGTTCTCAATTTATATTGAGTGTTTTAGCTTGCCTATTGCGTCGTGCAGTTTATTGAGAAAGATTCAAGCTTGACGCCTCAAGTTTTTGATGCACTTTTGAAATTTTGGCCAAGGACTTGCAGCAGCAAGGTTTGCTTTGTTATTCTTGAATTTTGCTCGATTTCGATTCTATCCTTCTTATTGTACTTTATGATGCTGTATATTCATAGGAGGTCATGTTTCTTGGTGAAGTCGAAGAAATTTTGGATATCATAGAACCTGAGCAATTCAAGAAAATCATTGACCCACTTTTCCGGCAGTTGGCCAAATGTGTCAGCAGTCCACATTTCCAGGTATTTTTTGGATATTCATCTACTAGATTTGTAGGCGTCAAGTGAACTGCTTTCAGGTCGCTGAACGAGCTTTATACTTCTGGAATAACGAGTACATTCTATCGTTAATTGAAGACACAAGTGCACAAGTAAGTTACTCGCTTAACATTGAGCTTTTCTAAGAAGAATTATATTTTTCAGGTTATGCCCATAATGTTCCCTGCTTTGTATCGTATATCAAAAGAACATTGGAATCAAACTATCGTGGCTCTAGTTTACAACGTTTTGAAAACGTTCATGGAAATGAATGGCAAACTCTTTGATGAGCTGACCAGCACCTATAAAATGGAGCGACAAAAGTGAGTTCTACCTTGTTATTTGGTATAGCGCAAAATGTTGAAAATACTTGCAAAAGTTTGAAATGAGAGAATCATTAAGCTGTGTAAAACACAATTTTTCGGACTGCTCGTGTTTGAGTAGTCTGGAAAAATGGGTAATGTTACTTGGGATCATTCAAGTTGTGATTAGCACCGCCTTCACTCCTCACCGTCCGGGTGTACTCGTACTACAGCGATAGGGAAGTAAGTCGTTCTTAAGGAGCGGAAATTTGAGCTCTTGTCTGGAAAATTCTATCTCCACGTTTGTCCGCTGTCGGCTTATCGGCCTCCATCCTTGCTGCTTTCTTCGAATCCATTGTGTTTGCAAGACCTTCTTTTATTGATTGAAGAAGCAAATGTAGAAAGTACTATTTGCAGAACGCGAACGTCTCAAACAGTTCTTGACCTTTCCCTCACCTCCATTCCATTTTAACACTTCGTTCTGGCTTATCGACTCCAATAGTACAGAGGGGGTGGTGTTTTTTTTTTCTGCTAACTAAAGCCGATCGCCTAAGATTTAGGAGTTTTTGACTCGATTATAACCGTTCTAGTGGTTACATTGTGGTATACATCAAATCTTTAGTGAGGGTGGTAGCGTCAAAAAATAGTCTGGAAAGTTTGCTATGCCTAGGAGGGTGTCAGTTCTTTGTTGTCGAGTTTACTGCTGCATTAGCATTGCTTTTCTTTCTATTTTTCAACTTCGACTTACATGAACGTGTGTTATAACAGGGAGCGAAAGCGGGAGAAGGATCGAGAAGATTTATGGAAGAGACTGGAGCAACTGGAATTGAATCCCCCTGATGCTAATAATCCTCCTCGTATATTCCCTAACACGCCTCTGACTCAATTCATTCAGGTATGTTCAAGTCTGTCAATGTTTTCGAATTCTCCCATCCTGTTTGAAGTTATGTAGTCAACCACTTACCCGAGTAAGTGAATGTTGCATGGGATGTAACAAAACTGATGGACGGAAACTTGTTCCGTCAAGGTGCACCTTATTCAGTGGTAGTAACAGAGGCCGCCACTAATGGAATTCGGGTCCTATTGATATTTGAAATTTCTTCGCCTTTACGTTCAACCATTGTTGCTTTTATTTATCAAAACATGAGGTGAATAGCGTAAGAGGTGCTGTAAATACATAAGAAAGTTATAAAGTATATATAAAGTTAGCTCACGCAAATCTTGTTACATTTCTGCAGTCTTTGAATTTGCAAATGTTCCAGTGCAGTACTGCATAACCGGTTTTCGATTTCTGATTTTTTTTGTGATGATTGTTGGCTCTGATTAGTTATGGAGGCTACTCTTTTGTGCTGAAACTTATGCTCATCATAAAATTTTTAGCCGCGACCAAGCTCAGCTGCCTCTTTACCTAAAGAGGGAGAGAAGTCACCAGCTAGTGGGAAGAAACTGTCAAGTGGTAGTGTGGGAGGCACAAGTCCATCAGGAAAGAAACAGTGAGGTATGTGCTTAGGAAAAGGTTTGACACACAATCATGTTAAATTACCACCACTGTTGCCTGTTGTCTATTAGGATATTTTTCCACAATTGGGAGAATTTAAGGGTCATATTTAACCCCTATTCCTCCTTGTTTGTTACAGCTTCCAAATAGTACAGTAGGCTGTTCCAGGATCTGTTTCCTGTAGTTGAATTGGCTCTTTTCGTGATTACATGGCTCAGATCGTTCACAATTTCGCTGTATCGACCACTTTTCACACAGACCACTTGAATACCCATCTGTTCCGCTTATGCTGGATTGAACTACTCGTTCCTAGATGATCAAAGTTATGTCTCTAATTATAGGTTTGTAACCCTTTCCTATTAAACGTGACACTTACTTTCTGGTATTAATTTCATGTCAGCCTCTCTGGCCGCTTCCTTGCTTCGTTTTATTTTAAAGATGATTTTGTAATAGCTATCTCGTGTTATGTGTCGTGTGAACTTTACTTTCTACTTTGTTTTTATGGAGTACTTGTTAATGCGGCGTTTGTCATGTTTTATAACAAGCACGTTATAAGAAACGACCCCCGCTTTTTATCATATGCAATTCGGTCGCTCATGTCGCTCTGTTAATTGTGTTCACATCTAATTTCTAGGAATACTGTGTAATATCGTCCGTCCCTTAATGCTTTTGCGGTCCAACTATTATTTCCCAAAGTTTTTCAATAATTCTTATCATACTGTATAGGCAAATATAATAGATATACTATGCGCACTCTGATGCGACCGCGTAAACTTGAAGCTCCCGAAATTAGTTGAGGGAGTTTTTGCAACTTTCAACACAAACCTTTCTCGCATACTTTGAATGTGTGCATTCAAAAACGAGCGTTAAACTTAGGTAGTTGCTAAGATACAGTATAGTATATATTTATTTGCAAATGTAATTACTGTGCATAAATCTTGTCTATAAAGCAACAACGACATGAAAACTTCACAACAATACCCGAAAATATAAGCTTCAACGTAAATAAGCCTTGTGCTTGTGTATGATAACGTAAACAGTGGGAAAGAGCTGTAAGGAATACAAATACGAAATTTTAGAAAAAAAAGTGAGACAGACAATATGCCAATATTTGACCGTACACAGTACAGCACCCGTTGAATTGGCTGGACTGACATCAGTGCGGTGAATCGCTCAAAAGCACTTCCTCATCAATTTGTATGAGTGTGCTATCCGACAACTCTACATCATCGTCACCGCCTATCAATTCTTGTTCCGTGAAACTCTAAAGATTCAAAATGAAATTGAATCTAAAATGAGGGGCTTATGCTGTTTTTTCCGATTCACCAAGCGTCTCTGAAAGGTATCATCAGCATAGGAATGTGTTTGTGTAGCCGAGCATACCCCTATGCTGATAATGTTGGGGGAGACATGTGATAACCGTTGAACTGGAGTAATAAGGGTGTAGTACCTCTTAGTCAATTACCGTTGGATACAAACTTTAAACACGATGATGTAAAGCATACCACTGAATGTAAATTTAAGACCCTTCCTTTATCAGCAGATCAACATCAATAAGCCTTATGCTGTCACCATAAATGTTCGCAAAGTTTCTCATACATAGTAAAAGTATAAGTTATAGTACTCTTGTCGCACTCTCCCAACATTGACAGCTTTTTTTTCGATTTTTCGGTCAGTTGAGAGCCTCTGATGGAGGCGGTACTGTCTAATTGTAAGTATGGCTATGCCAAACTTCAAAGGTCTAACAAGAATACTACAGCTTATATCGTCATGAGAATGAACAAACCATAAAACTCTTGGCATGTACCTGAACCTTCTAAAAAATTGAGTTTATGCAGCTTCATCTTCTTTCGAGCGTTGATCCCGAGCCGTCGAAGGACCCGCAATTCTTAGCGGGAGCCGCCGCGTTAACCGCTCTTTTATATTTATGAGGCACGCCAAACCTTTTCGATCTGGCATTTATCGAAACTGTCGACCAAATCCACTTCCGCTCAGGTTAAAACATATTTCGAAAACGATTAAGAAAATGGGAGGTCATTCAAACCGAATTCTAGTTTATGCGTATGTGAAAAGGTAATCACGTCTCGGTGGGATACTTATGATTCATGACACGTGAATTTACATTACGCATGAAGGACAAGTAATTAGGTGTGAAGAAACCATGGAGACCAGTGGTCGCGAGGAAAATGCTACCATGAGACAAGATATGCTCATTACCTCTAAGCTCCATTGATCCAGAGAAAACACCTGTCTTCATGATTCCGAACGACTATTTAGAATAATATAAAGTTGAAATGTAAAATCCTAAATCCATGAATAAGCTTTTCCTGATCTGATTGACTTCGGCAAATTTCAGCCTGCATAGAAAATGAAAACATATCGCTCAATGTTGATCGAACTCTTTTTGCAATGCAACAAGGCACCACTCGGGATCCTGGTGACTTTGAATGTTGTTCAACCTACACAATAGTATGCGGGGTCATGCTTGTGTACAACGGCGCTTTTTCCTCCCAGACAAGTATGTTGTCAGCTCACAAACTCCGAGAAAAGAATGACTTGATCAAGACGGGTTCCGATTCGACACTTGATGTCAGAACTGCGGGGTCGTTGATGATCTTCACCCGTGAAAATATGCGCAAGACCTTGGTCAAAGTTAGCAATTGCGCTAGGAAATTGTCGACGCAGCTTTACCCCGAAAACGATGCATTATGCATTTCTCTTCGACGGGTACCCCAAACACCTAAACAAAGAGGAAGTTGGTGGTGAGCAACTTGTTATTGATGAATAGTATTAGCATTTTTTTTTCACAAAACGCTTTGGACCGGATAGCGATGAGTAAACAATGGCAAGAGGCTTTGCATAGTGTTTAACCAGAAAATGAAAACACTGAATCAAATGTTAAACGGTTCCACGTGCACATGAAATATGTATTCAAGGGCATCTATGAGGTAGGATGGAAAAGGATGGATTCATTTCATAGGGAACAAATCAATACCAAGCAATTTATGACTTTGATTAGGGCTGAGGCAATGAACGCATGATCAAGCATCCCTGAGAAAAAGAATCGGGAAAGAAAACAAAGATAAATGTGTTGTAGAACCATGCATTGTTGATTAGACTGCCTGGGCATAAAATGCGTACAACTTACGTGGTGATGAACACGACTCACCACTTTACTTTGCCTTTTTTTCCTCCTTTCCTTCAACTCTTACACAACCTCTGGACCCGTAAACGACCATGCTTACGAAGGCTCTTTCTCAGCCGCGAACCGCGAAAAGAATCCGTACAAAATAGCTCCTCTTCGATTCAAAAAAGATTCGAAAATATCCCAAAAAACTCACATCAACCTCAACCTTTGGCGATTTCACTGGCACGCATTCAGCTGGTAAGTACCGTGCATCTGGACAAGACAACGAAGACGATAGAGGGATATGTACATCTGATAACGGAGGTGCGCTATGTATACGGGGAGGGTGACTGGATGCCAATTGATATGCAGCTATCGAACTACTTTTCTCTTTCAATGGAATCACCTGAACCAGTAAGACCGACATTACAGGCAAAGTCAAAAAGTAGAAGAACGCGACCTGCTCTGTAAGATGCTCTATCTGCCCGGAAAATTCATTCTTGATCGCCTCAATAGCACGAAAGACGGCTTCCTGAAAAGCAGAGTAAGAAAATGAATGAAAACATTTTTGATGGCGACTCGAAGCTACGCCTGTTCGGAGAAAAAAGAGTTCATTCCTGGAGCAACCCTGAAGGTTAGGCTACCGGAAAAGCAAACTTTCATGAAGTTTCTTGGATTTCTTATTCATTGAGTACCTTTTAATTTATGAAACAATAAGCTATCGTTTCGATTGAAACCTTTACCATTTACCGAAACCACTGCTTTTCTTTCGTCAGAACTTGAAACCTCAGAAAAAAACCAAGCAAAGGGAATACACTGAAACCTTGATGTATACGAGAAGGAATTTTGTGCACGGAATGTTGTTTAAGCGGGCTGCTAACTGAATCGCCGCCATTGCGTCCAAACTCAACAGCATTGCAGTCAAGGAATGAAATTTAATTTCGAAACCCCTTCAGAATAACGTTTAATTCTAGCAACAGCCAAGTGGATGTAATTCAAAGAATAGAATCACAAAAGAAATAAAAAATTAAGAGTAAAAAGGAACTAAAATGGAGTACTTCAAAGGCCACAGTGCGCTGAATGCATTTAATGACTCACCACTCCTAGTTGTGATTCCCACCCAGGTTGTTCGCATTTCAGCTTCTTCTCCATTTCAGTCAATTGAGCTTTGTCACGTTTTCGCTGTTCTTCCATGCGTTTCCGCTCAGCGGCTATTGATGAATCCTGCAAAATCTTACTGTTCAGAGGTGATATAGCTGTTGCTAGCCTCACAACGTCGGGTTTTATGAGACTGATAGCAAAGTCGAGTTCAGAATGCTATTGGAGACTAAAGCTCCACAAAACCGAAAGCGAAGATTATTGTTGGATGTACCTGCATCTCAAACCAAAATTAAATGACGAATAATAAAACGAACAACTAACTTACTTTTGCAGCTAATTTCCTCTCCAGTTCCAATTTCTCTATTTTCCACAGACGCTCCTTATCACGAGCTGTGGCTAGGTCTCCATCCAATCTTCTGAATATATTGGCTATCAAGATGATATCACAGTTCACGGTTTCAGTGAAACGTAACTTGAAAATCAGATTGCTTATGATTTTCACCACGTATGCAAAACCATTGTATACTATGTTTCCTCTCAAAAGTAATTTTGAAGGTTATGATATGACCTCAGATAGCATCTTATGATCTCATTCTCGTGACGGAGACTATCGGCAAAGAGCGGATATCAGAAGAGCGAGTTCAAATTGATTTGATATGATATGAAACAGATTGTAACGAAATTCAGTAAATCGCAAAAATCGATGCAACAATCGCATTGGGATAAAAAAAACGGTGACAATGTATATTAAATCATACTTGTATTCCGCTAATCTAAGGTCTAAGGTTGACTGAATGTTCTCTACTTCTCTCTTCATCGAAGTTGCAAGTTGTAAGGCATCATCTCTCCTAAAAAGTGATTGTTATCAAAACTACGACACATTTTGATTCCAAGCATAGTAGTTTAACAATAATAGCAATAGCAATGAGGTTTACTCAATAATGAGCAATTTAAACTGATATTACTCACTCTTCCCTACAAATACGATTCTTGTCCACCAACTCCTCGCATTTCTTTCCCAACACTTCATTTCTTTTTGTCAGAAAGGCCACCTGTTCAGTATGTGCCGACAATTGCATTTCCGTCTGCTTCAGCTTCTGAAATTGAACTTTCAGAAGCCATTATTGTCAAAATAAAAGTAGTAAGTGTCGTTAGTAATAACCGATTACTGTGTATTACAAGGAGCTGTCAAAAAATATTACCAAAGAATGAAGTTTTCAAAATATATATAGAGCTGAAAGAAGAGAACATAAAAAATGAACCTCTACAACTCCTTCTTTCTCTTTGCGCATCGATACGATGTCGCTCTTGAGAGAGGAAATTATCTGAAACAGCACAACTATCAAAAACACCAGTGGCCCAAGCAAAAGTTACCTTTCTTTGGTATTTTGTGTAACACCTTGATAAGAGAATGTCTTCCGTAAATCATTGAAAAGTAAAGAACCTGAGTGTTCTTCGTTGAAGTCTGCTGAAGTTTCTGATAATTGAGTCGAGATATCGACAATTCTTGCTCTAGATTTCCACGAAGAACTGCACCATTGCTAAAATAGGCAACAAATCTCAGTTATATAATACACTACTACAACCGAACCATGAAACAAGCACATACCTAAGTTCATTTTCAAGCGCTCTAATACGTATACTTGTACAGCCTAACTCATTACGCAGACGAACCACTTCAGCCTCGAGAATATTGTTGGTTTCTAGCAATGATGACGCCGTTGGTCCCAAATTTCTGAAAAATAGGAAAAAGAAATGACATTTTTCAATTATTATGGATGCACAAACATACGTAAAGTTAGGATTGATGTGTACTCTGCCAGATTTTCGCTCACGGCTTCGAGTTCGACTTCTTGAACGAGACCTTTTGCGGTGACGGCGATGCTGAAGTTCGAATATCACAGGGGTAAAGGCAAATTCGCAGAGATGCTTCTGAATCCTTCGTTTTATTTTGAGCAAGTACAATTCCAAGTGATGAGTGAAAACGACTCATTTCACGGACTTTTGCGAGCTTTTAGGGACCGCCTGATTATAATTACTGCCAAAAAGGACGAAATTTTCAGCTTACTAGTTATAAATATAGTTAAGGTACCGNAAATTCGCAGAGATGCTTCTGAATCCTTCGTTTTATTTTGAGCAAGTACAATTCCAAGTGATGAGTGAAAACGATTCATTTCACGGACTTTTGCGAGCTTTTAGGGACTGCCTGATTATAATTACTGACAAAAAGGACGAAATTTTCAGCTTACTAGTTATAAATATAGTTAAGGTACCGTTTCAATATGTTTACGAACCTTTTTAGAACTGTGATGATGGTGCTTTCTGTCATGCTTTCGGCTACGACTACGATGCCTTTCTTGTTTCTCATCGTCTTCTTCATAGTCACTGAACTCCTCGTCATCAAAGGGTTCCTAAACATGGTAGGTAGACAAACCTGAATGAGAACAATGGAACCGCGTACAACTCACCTCATAAGACCCTCCATTCATCGTAACGTGGACTTGCTTTGGAAATAACAATTAATACCTATGATTCTCAGTAAGTGACGCTAACTATAACGTTTTTAATCTCGAGAAAAAGTGCGCATATGGTTTATTTCAAAATTCTTCTTACGAAAACGTACGCTGCCTGAGAATCATACGTTCAATGTTTCCTGAGCAAGCCACATTGAAAGGAGTAGCCTGGATGCAGCTGAAACATCGGGAATTTCTCATTATTATTTAAATAATAAGTTCGCTGTGTAGTAATGCCAGTTAGGAAGTATTTCGGCCGAAAATCCTCATGACACTGAGAAATAGATCGGCACAAATGGGATAATATAAAAAAATCAATGGAATATGCATGATCTTTTCTGAGGCAAAATGGAAAAAAGGTACTTTTTGAATGCTTTCTTCCATTATAGCCATAGCAACAACGAATAAATCAGTCCACAAATCCAAACAATCTTTGTTATGTAAGGTTGGTGATTCTTAAAGCTTAACAAAAGCAAACTATCCTTTTGGGCGGTATATCTTCCCTCAATTGAAAGAAATTTGAAAATCGACGAAGAAAAGTAGCAGAAAACATCCGTTTTGTCCAGGCAGCTAATTCGATAAAAACTACTTTACAAAAAGACTCGAGAGAATCAGAATTTGGAAAGGTCTTCTTAACAAATGAAGGGCAAAAAGTTCGCTTGGGAACCATTTACAGGACTAAGTGCTCGTTTGGCCGGCAATTCTTTACGAATGAACATTCAGTCAGTCAGATCTCCGAAAATCATCAAGGTTAAATCGCATAACCAAACAGTAAACAGTCACCTCTCAACCTTCATCAAGTTTTAAAGGACACGCAGACAGAGACAGCAAGTAGTCCCGATGCGATTGATAACACCGTAATCCTAGCGGTGATGCACCCTCAGGCGGCGGTTACATCAGCGTTTCGTCATATTCTCAAATCTTGGTTGTCGGCGATATGTTCTTCGCTGATATCTAGATTTGCGACGTCTGCGTGTTAATTCTCAGTCTCAACAGACGTGAGTTACTTCTTTTAAACCAATTTAACCTTTTTAATCGGTTCGGAGATGTGGTTGTTGCGCCTGGGAGGTGTTAATGCAGCTTGTTACTTTTATTGCTATTATGTCATCAAAATTGGCCTGTTCCTCCATTTATTTAAAGTAAAAGGATAGTGCTTCGTTCGAAACTACGAGGTCCGTCTAGATTGTAATCTCTAGCTCTTGCAACTCCGTGAGTTGTGCAACTTTTCGAAACGAAAGGACTTTTGCACTTTTACGCTTGCAAGTTTCTGGTCGCTTACTTCATCACGGTAACACATACAGAAATGGGCAGGATTATCTAATGATGATATTGTGATCGTTCAGTAAGTGTCGTTCAGCTTGAGAAAACTTGGGTATCCTGATGCTTAACCGGTTCTGGCTGCGTATGATACAGTGCGCGTGACTGTAAGAATCCATGGCATCGATCGATGACCCTAGTCTGTAGGTAGCATTTCTGTAATGTGATAATGCTTATCAGAAAATCGTATTTACTTCTCGTGAAACTCTGAATAAGTCTAGGTGTATTTGGGACGCTGTTTACAAATTTGGAAGTGAAAAGTGGAAAGCGAGTTCTCCAGAAGAAGTTGTGAATGCTGTTCTTTGAAGGACATGCCCATTTGAAATGTACAATTGAAGCAACAAACGGCAACTGTGAAGTGGTGTAGTGGTGGTGCTCTTTATTCTTAAGGCGAAGGACGGTGTTCTGCTCCCCGCCACTTCTAGGAACCACAGGGCGAAAATTGGGTACAGGAAGTGGTTCTTGCGGTGACCTTTGGTGAAATATTATAAAATGCAATAGTTGCAGAATTCAATAGACAGCATATTTCCTCTCACGGCATTATTCTATTTAATACACTAATTCTGAATCCGTCTCATATAGGTCGTATGGGAAGGGCACGTTGGACAAAAAGAGCTTCTTGGAAGGTAGGTGGGTGGGATGGCTGACCGGGAGCCGTATTGCATCATGACTCCTCTTCGAGTCAAGCCGTATTGCATCATGACTGCTCGTTCGGTCAAGATCCTCAGCTGGATTACTGTGTGAACCTAATTCTCTGATCGAATCCTCGTTTCCGTCTAGGGGCCTGGTTGCTGATTTGCCTGATATGTTCACAGAAATAGGTATTTGGGTTTAGTACTCATCAACACCACTTGCCGAAGTTCTCGCCTTTATAGTGTTGGGCATACCTAGCGCAACAACTTTCTCTTGTATTCGATGTTTTCTTGTGTGCAATGGTAATTCGATGCTCTGCTCAAAATGATATCTAAGCTCCAAATGGAAGCTCTCAAAACTCGACAATCCCCTTTGAGAAAAATAGAAGTGGGGGAGGGGGGTTACGCTTTATCATGTTCCTGATTTCTCTAGGTTCAAGTTTGGCCATTATTGATGGCTCTTAATTGAATGCCTATTTGTGATAG